AAATCTGAGAAAACCTGGAGTCTGTCCAAGCTGAACAGCTAATAGCTTCAAGATATTAAGAAGCTTTCAGTGAATTTGATGGATCTGATGGAGTTGGTGGCACTTCACAAGCCTTCACAGGTCAGTGTCAAAATATCAGCCTTCTGTTTCCTCTTCAGTAGTGTCTCAGAAAACAGCTCACTTGCTGTGTTCATTTCCTCCTTAATTCGACACAGTGGAGGGACCCACATTCCCTGATTTTTGTTTTTGTTTTGACTTACGATTGATGCTGGAAGGTAATAAAGTTTCTTGAGGGTTATTTAGTAAAGCAAAGCAGGAAGTAACATAATTTATTTCAATATATGTACAGAATAATGAAAATAAGGAAAAAAAACTTCTCCCTATTTAAGAGGCTTTGCCTAATAAGTAACTCCAGCATGGAGAGCAGAATTTATCATTTTAATCAATATCTTCTAACTCCTTATTTAGCCAAAATAAATGGCTAATTTCATTATTTAGCCTGATCAATGCACTAAAAAATGAGGGCTCTGCTAAATAATCTTTGTGATTTATTATTGGAGCTACTATAAGAACTTTCTCCTTTTTTATACAGTTTCTGGAAGTCTCCCCAGGCTCCTATATAGAGTTTCAGCTCTTTGCCCCTCTCTCGCCCATTTCCTATGGTTTCCTTCCCATCTCCCAGGGAGAGCCAGATTTATATTTTAATTCATATTGTGCAGCATAGAATGAACTACAGCGCTTATAAGCACAGCCCTGTGTACCTCAACTATAGTGACAAAACAAACAGAAAAAACTTGCAAAATGTTTCTTAACATCAGGAGAATCATAAAATTCTTCCGACATGAAATTACCTATGTTGCATCATCTTCAAACTTCCCCAGGCCTCAGAACAGAAGGATTGATGAGAATTCTCTTACTCTCCACTGAATGGAACTGTTACATATTCCATTCACCACTAGCATTCTGTTGAGTAAGAAAATCTCATCTGCTCAAAAGTAACAGTTGATGCCCATCATTTGGAGTCACAAATTCCTGGCATTGCCTAGCTGTTCCTTTGTAGCAACTAGACTCATTCTCAAGACCTGCAGGGTGCTCCGCCTGTGGATGAGCGAGACACTTGGACTCCTCCATTCTTAAACCCCATCTAGAAGCACACACACACACACACACACACACACACACACACACAAAGAGCAATAGGGCAGCCAGGCTCAAAGGCAGGACACACCTGCTGGGACTCTTGGTGCACCTGTTTATAGACTTGAGCACTGGCCAGAATCACCTAAGAGGTGATGTTTATTTCAGAGACCCACCCCCAGAGTTTCACATTTAGGAGGTCTGAGGTAGAGTCTGAAAATTTATATTTCTGACAAGTTCTCTGATGAGGTGCATACTTTTGATTCACTTAAAAACTGTAAAATCTTAGGTAAAATAATTGACTCATATCTGTGTCTTCAACAGGGTCAAGATGAAGCAGGTTGAAGGGGAATCCTCCTGCTCCTGCTCTGTCCCCACCCATGTCAGCATTAAAGCACAGGTAACAGCCCAGAAAGTCCCAGAACCAGCCCACATAGTGTAGTTTGGGAGTGAGGGCAAGGAGCACATAGCATTTCACTGAACAAAGATTTCACTGTCTACTGTGCACAAGATGTTGGAGGCACAACTGAGGTGGCTGCACAAAGCAATGACTGGATTACTAGCAGATCTGCAGATAGGAACATCTGATGTTGCCCACTCTACATGAAAGACCTGTCAGCCCTGGCAACTTCATAATGCAGGTATTCTCTCAATCCTTACTTTTCACGGCAACTACCAAGTACAACTCACTAGCATGGAGTAGTACTTGTTGGATGAGCAAAAAAGGGATTATATCACGAGAAATGGCTCATAACCACCCAAGTCCAGGGAGCTGTGTGAAGGTACTCCACACCTCAGGGGGCCATGTTCCCAGGACTTGGGGTGGCTATGTTCCAACCCCAGTGGCTATACTCCAGGATTCTCTGAGGTGAAGAACAATAGCTCTTCTTTCTACTGTATGATCTTTCTGATTGCTAAGCAAAGAAGCCTTGACCAGGATGGTGATCTCACCTCAGTTCTAAGGAATGATATGGCCAGGTGGTAGGACATGTACCCCTTACAACTTCACCTTTCACCTGAGAGGCAGCATGGAGCTCAGAGCATTGCAGGAGGAGCTGAGCTCTTTTAGAGGTCCCTGCCCAGTGCGCAGACACACATGAACCCCTGCAGAACCTTCTGGAGCCTGCCAGAATCTTCCAACTTGGTCTCTTCCACACTTGCATCACCCTTGGCTTCTTAGCCACTTTAGGGCAGACAGAAATAATAAATTAGGACAAATCAGTGAGGACAAGATGCTACACATCCTTTTAGGTACAAAGGCTTGATTATACAAGGGATTTACAGTGATGGCAAGTTTGGTTTCTAGATTTCAAGCTGCTTTAAACCAGCAATAATAGTATCTTCTTGTTGTCCCTTTATGTTCTAATCAAGATGAAGATCATTACCCCATCAAAAGCCAGAGCTCACAGAGCCAGCTCGCTCTGGTCACTCACCTGCCAGAACTTGTAGCATGAAAACAAATTTGTTGCAGGACAAGAAACAGGAGCACAGCCCTTCCCCAACAACCATCCATGGCCATCACATCACAGGCAACTTGTCACCACTTACTGCTGATGACCTAGCACCTGACCAGGCGGGCACTGAGAGCACTGTTAGGGTTAGGGAAGGCAGCACTAATCTGACACGTTAGTTTGACCCTAGGGCAGAGATTACCTTACAGTAATACACTGAAGTTCCTTTTGCTGCTTTTTTACCTTGGTGTATCTCTTCTGCCCCAGGTTGGTCTTAACTGGTGGAAGTCACTAGAACTCCATGTGTCCCTCTAGACATCTTACACAGAGACTAAAAATGAACCAAAACCTCTCTGGAAGAAGCGTATTGAGAATGTCGCATATTTTCACAGCGCAGGTGGTTTGAACACAAACGGCCCTATGGCCCTCCTCTACGTCACTCTTCGCAGTTGCAGTTCACCTGCCTTCTGTAGGCTACACGGACCCTCAGGACAGCCAGCTTGTACATTATTAGTTCTAAGAGGCCACTGAGCTGCCTGCGGGCACTAGAGCTGCCCTCAGGGCTAAGGACAAGAAGCCTTGCCTTTGCCTCCTGCTGTGGAATGCTTTGCTCAACTCCAGCTCTTGGGTAAGACGCATTCAAATCCTTTTGTCAACACGGCAAGGAAGTAGTCTGAAAGATGGGAGTCATCTGAAGTGACAGGTCACTCAAACTCAAGCAGGATCTCATTTCCTGCACATGGACCACAAACATATCTCTCTATGCTACAAACACATGTGCCCTCATCACTTACCGTTAAGTCACTCCTGATGGCAAAGTTTTCAGGCTTGATGTCACAGAGGTGGAGGCGGTGGGAGAAGTCATTTTCAAAGTGGCTCACCATGTCCAGGAAGCTGAGAGCAATATGGCTGATGGCCTTGGCCCGGGCCCGGCCACCCTGGGGTGCAGCGTCATCCAGGGGAAAGAGAGCACTGTGGTGAGGGCTGCCAGCAGCCAGGTACTCCACTGCATAGAAATGTCCACAGGAGCCCAGCACAGGCAGGACGTGGCGGCTGAGGTCCTGCAGCAGGCTGAAGTACACATACTCCTCCTGCTGCAGCAGGGACCACGCGCTGGCCAGCTGCCGCCTCCAGCCAGGGCCCCGATGGCCAGGCCACAAGGGTCCCATGCTGCTGTTGCGCAGCTCTAGGCCTAAAGTGTTCTTGACCTCCCCAGCCACCATCAGGAGGAGCTCTGCCTTAGGCACACCCTGGGCTCCCTGTCCTGCCTCCATCTCCAATAGGCCAAGGGCTGGGAAGCTGGAGAAGGCCTCCCTCTTGGACTTGAGGACAACAGGCCGGCCACGCCACTGGGCCTGCAGGACCTTCTTGCCACGCTCATAGTATAGACAGCGCTGGTACAGCAGCTCCCCTGCTACACACAGGTCCTCACACAGGTCGCCCGTGAGCCAGCCTCCCTGGTAGTCCCGGCACTGGAAGGAAAGGAAAGGCTAGTCACAATGGGGCAGCCGTTAGGCCAACAATGGGCTGGGCCAGGGGAAGGACCAAGTGTCTAGACACTAGACTAGGGAAAGGCACAGCTTGTTCCCTGCGCTCAGGGAACTTGGATTCTTCGTTTGACCTCATGTGGTGTCAAAACCAGACTGAAACGATATGAGGCTATTTGACTCAATGTGAATCTCCATACATTTTGCTACAAAAGTATTAATTTGATTACTGGCGTTGTCCTATACGCAAAATATAATGTACATGTACAATGTTATCTTTCCAATATCCAATAAATTTGAATTTTAAAACTTACCAAACCCCAAAGTGTTAAATAAGGCATTGTGGATCTTTACAAATACTGTAAGGTAATTGTTCAAAACACTTAGATATATTCTCAGTGCTTAAGAGAAGTATGTAGATTTTCTGGACACTTAGTCACTAACCTGAAAAACCAAAGCCATGTTGTCCAAGCTGAATCCCCTCCCCTTGCTTATGATAAAGAAATCTCTGCCAGCTATTGGGCTTTATGTCTGTGTATATTTTACAGGGAGGAGCCACATTCCCCAAACTCCAAGCTGCAGGCAATAAAGCTCTGTATGTAGAAAGTCATGAGCCTGATCCTCCAGCTACTGAATGATATCAGGGCCTGGGGCTGGACTTCTGTCTTTGGAAAGCCAACACCCATGAAGAAGCTGCATTAGTACATACACAAAACTGCTTTAAACATACTTGAAGTCCTGTGTAGATGCAGCAAAATTTTGGTAAGATGCTCCTGTTTGACATTGACTCTGGTCCCTTTTTCCAAGGCATGGTTCATGAAAAGAGCACAGAAAGGATCAAGACCCTTTGTGTAACTGCTTGGGTATAACTGTGTCCATGTCACCCTGAGAAAAACCATGGATCGAGCTCCTTAAATATCATTAAGGATTGTCTTAGAAGAGAGGAGCAGATGAATAGTAGGGACCAAAACAATCAGGCAGTGAGGTGATGTGAACCACAGAAATAGTATGGGATGCTCACTTTACTTGGGTTTCTTTCCCTCTTTCATGTGGTATTTATAGAGTTTCACATCTCTATAATAAACCTGATAAGAAAATGAAACACTGGCTTTTCTTGATTTCCTTTCAAATTTAAAAATAAAACCTGTACAGTCTCCAAAACTGGTTTGATTCAATTCCATACACTTTTCTCTAGTGTTATCATATTTGTCATTTAACCAAAGGTGCTTTTGTATGAAGTGTAAAAGAGAGTTGCAAAAGAAAAGCAGGTAACAGAATCCCTGGGTAGCAGTGGGATGTGACCTGGGTGGGGAGCTCTGAATCCCACTATGCTGAGGAGAGGAGGGAGAGGAAGGCTTGGCCCAGATGTGGCTAAGGGAAGAGTCTAGGAAGGAAGGGATGAAGGTGAGGCCCTGGCCATGGCTGGGCCAAGCCACAGAGCTGGTTTTCATTTGCCTGTGAGTGAGGGAATGAGGAAGCCACCAACAGACTTCCAAGACCCTCACTCTTCTCATCTGAGCTGTGGCCATCATTGTTGTTACCCACAAGTGGCCCCTGAGGGCCCAGAAGCCAGTGCATCACACCAAGATGGCCTCGGGCTTCAGTCCCTCTATGCCACACCAAGGTATAAGCACCAATTTCAGTTAATCTAGCTGTGTGTGAGTTCTCATAGGCTGCCCTCCAATGAGGGCCCAGAAGCCAGCGCATCACACCAAGATGGCCTCGGGCTTCAATCCCTCTATGCCACACCAAGGTATAAGCACCAATTTCAGTTAATCTAGCTGTGTGTGAGTTCTCATAGGCTGCCCTCCAACTCCAGCCACAGGGCCCAGATGACAGCACATTACCCGTTGAAACTCCTGAAAGACATCAGAACATGACATGAACAACACAGAAATACAGTAGGGCATAGACTGGGCAGTAGGGCATAGCTATGGGGCTGGCTGGGTTTGCCTCTGGCCTCTGCCTCTCACAGGCTATGTAGCTTATCTCTAAGACTGTACAATAAGGACAATGGCTGTGTCACAGGAGACCTGGGAGGGTTGAACAAGGTCACAGATGCACAATCCCTAGCTTGGTGGCCTCACATAAAGATAGCTCCCTCTCCACCCTGGACATGAGATAGTGGGGGGCAGTGGAACTTCTGCCTGGAGGAAACTACTCCATCCCCTGGGGGAGCATTCTAGCCCCTCCTCTTCCCCCAGAGCTCCTTAAATAATGGCTGTGTATGTTGGGTCCCCCAGCCCACAACCGCACTGCACCTAAAATATAGAATGGAAACCAAACTGAACTGTATATACAAGATACACCACAGTAAATATGGAAGGCAATTCCTATAAAGGAGTGTGAGTCATTTTGAACAATGGCATTATTATGGAATTTTGCATCAGCCTATGGGTTTTAAAGGGAACATTAATTTTGGCTGGCTTTCTGGAGGTTAGCACCTTGGCTGACAAGCACACCTCCCACATGGTTGATTTCTTGCTAGGATGTTGAGTATCAGAAAGGATCTAGACCACCTACCACAGCTGAGATCTTGGGTTTCTGACCTAATTTTTCAGCATTCTTGGTTATCGGTTTGTTCTGAGAGATAATTTACTTGGAAGCAAGGCGTTCAATAAAAAGTATATTCATGTACACTTATTATAGAGCCATTTTGGCTATTATCTTTTATGAAGAAGCATTTTTGGCATTTAAGCTTGTGTCCTTATTATATAGAATATAAAATGTGTCCACTGTAGCTCATTAGCATTGCTGGTGTTCTGGTAAGTTCTCAGGATCTTTTTGCATGTCTGTGCCTGCTAACTACACAGAAAGCCTTAACCCAGCAATTTTAAAAAGTCAGTATACAAATTTCAAGTTTAGAAGGTATTTAAAAACTTGTATTAAGTCATTAAATTATTGTATTAGCAGCATATCTCATTGAAGCAGCCATTTTTAATTCAATAAAAGTAATTCATCTAAGTCTATTTTTAAAGTCAGACTTATCAAACTTTTTTCTCTTCAGGAGGACTAATCACCAGCTTGACAATAGGTACATTCCTGTACCCAAATGTGTGTACATGTAAATGTATCAGGCTTAAAATCAAACTGGAAAAATAAAATACAAGCTAAGGTCCCATTGTTAACTCTGGCATAGTTTGAAATTAATCAAATTCAGTGAATTTGTTTCTCATGGAATGTGCAAATTTCCATCAGACTAGCCCCAGCTTTTGTTGGAAGCCTTCTTTGTGGTTGTTGCTTATTATCTTTCCTGTTGGTATCGTGGTTCTTAGGCAAAAACAAAAGCTATTCACTCTAAGAAAGTGTGGACAGGGTCACAGAGGTCATGCTAAAAGGCTTGGCTTCCTTTTTGTGTTTTTATTTAAAGGACCTTTAAGTTCCCACGCTGTTAGCATTCATATTTCAAGAGGGTTTTCCTTCCCGGGCAGCTACCATGCCTTACAGAATCTCAGCAATTAGCTAGTCCACTGTGAAACTCCTCTCTATATCGTGAATGTGGCCAGAGCTGTTTCCAGCGATGACATCTTTTTTGGATATGGACCCTACTACTGTGTCCTGTTTGGGTCTTGACAGTTCCTATCACCACAAAGAAAGATAAGACTGCACTTGGAAAAAAGAATTTCTAAAGTAAGAACAAAATTAAATTCCATCAAGACCTAATAGCCACAAGCAGTTAAGCCTTCTAAATAACATAGTCTTTGGGAATATTTCCAACATGCTTTGGAAATAACATGCAACTGAAGGGGTGAGTAAACACTAAGCAACAGCTTAGGGTTATGCTTATATGAGAAGTCACTTACTATCTTGGCATTGTTACTGTCAGACTGCATAGGGTGGCATCCTCACTCTTAACAACTATGTAAAGCAGGGTGAAGTTTTTCCATCTGCAAAAGTGGGGGTACTGAAAGTGAATAGCTCACAGAGACTGTTGAGGGGATTAAATGGAATAGTGCATGTAAAGTGACTCAGTACCGTGCCTGCCAGGTATTAGGTGCCTTCCAGACTCTGTGTAGAAAATAGCTCACAGAGACTGTTGAGGGGATTAAATGGAATAGTGCATGTAAAGTGACTCAGTACCGTGCCTGCCAGGTATTAGGTGCCTTCCAGACTCTGTGGAATCCTCTGTCTGCAGAAGAAGCCAAACTCATAAATGATTGAGCACCACCAAATACCTGTCAGCCTGGCTGACACACTCCATGCAGCTCATTGGAAAAGTGGGACCCTAAAAAACCTCACACCTCCTGGATGATGGAGTACTGGTTTCTTTATCACAGCACAAGCCAGAACTGCAGAAAGAGAAGCAGTGTAGTCTAACTGGGAAAATCCAAAACTTGAATCATTTGGAGCTATTCAAATTGGCTTTTTTTAAAGGCCCAGTTTCTTGAAGTATGGTTGGCTCCCTCAGGAGGCAGGGTAGGGGCTCAGGAGAACCTGCTGTCCTCTCATTCTCTTCCCCTAATGGTCTCCTAAGCCTCATCGTCTGGCTCCAGTAGGTTCTCCCTGCAGGCCAGCATTGACACCTGCAATGCTGGGGCCCAGGAACACCAGGGTCTGGGAAGACTAGGAGGGGACTTGCCACAACCCAGGTCTGCCAGAAAGAACCTCCCTTTGCCTGGCTGGCAATATTTCTTCTGTACTCCCTACTCAGAAAGCTAATGAGAGTCTAGAGGCCAGTCAGAAAAATAACAACCAGTTTTATTATGTAAGATGAAAGCCAGGCAGAATGAAAAGTGCCAGGGGAGCAAGGACACACAAAGGCCCAATTCAGCTCCAGTACTAGGAAGCCACAATGCCAACCTCTCTACTTGGCAGTCAGGCTGAGCACAGTCTGATCGGTGAAGACTGGGGTCCTATTTAAGCCTGTCCTTGTTTAGAGTGTCCTGGGCAAAAGTTGAGCCAGAGCACTGTAGAGTCTCACATCAATGAATTCTGAAAGAAAACAGCAGAAAAGGATACAGCCAGCATAAGGGGAGACAG